CTCCCCTCAGTCTCCTCTTCTCCAGACTGAATGAGGATGTCTAGTGTTCCTCTTTAGCTCCATCTCCTAAAAAATTTAAACTAGTTCTTCCCAAACACATCAGACCCATTCATTCTGAAAAAAGCACCTTCATAACCTGTAGAGTTTGCAAACTCAAATACATAAACGGGCTATAGCAAAGAGACAAAAATACTACAACAGCTTCAGCTTAGACCAATAAAACCATTTAGATAAGACTGCCTACTTTTTAAAGCAGATCCTACCCTATTTTGTCACCCTTAAGTCAGGAAATAGAAATCACTCTCACCCAGTTGTACAATCCATCTCTTTTAAGTGAAGATACAGAGTTCTGTTGTGTCTTTAATTGTGCCTTTGTGTTTGGCTGGAAAAAAATTGGCGCCAATTATGGTATGCAGACAAGTAAGATCTTGGAAAGAATCCCATAGGGAGAGGAGCGCTCCCTGCTGCCCCAGGGACAGGGCTTATGATGGATTGGAACCAGGTTCCTGGAATGAAAGCATGTAAAGACATCTCTAACAGTCCCTCTCTGTTCTATCCTACAAGTGATGCACTTCTATCACACACAGGAAACAGAAACACCCCAAACCTACAGTCTCAGCTGAGTTCTGTCAAGCAGGTACAATAGCTTCAGTTCACTTCTATAGAAGACAAAGAGGCTCATGAACTCAAGGAGTTCAAGTGGCTTCGGGCTTAACCAAAAAACTTCTCAGCCAGGAACTACCTGGGGCATCCAGACAGACTCCTACACACTAGGAGACAAGCCCAAAGAAGAGTCAAATGGAGCAGGACTCACAGGAAGTAATGCTGAGAAATAGTTCTGGGAGTCCAGGTTTGCATCCAGCTGCTGCAGTGGGAATTCCAGGATCACTTTACTGAGCACCTGCATCATCTCCTTCAGGCCAATGTTATAGGCATACCTGTGAGGAAAAAGGTCAAAACCCCCAATATTTCACACTATCTAATCTCTGCAGACTGTGGCTCTTCACAGAGATAGAGCAGAAAATTTGATTTTCATCATTCAGACTTGTTTTTTTATTTGTTTGTTTGGTCGTCCAAATATTCAGTCAATAAAACCACCTTGCATTGCATCAGGCCCTGCATAAGGCCACAGCCCTGAAAATCTGCTATCACAGTGGAACAAGCTGCTGCAGGGACAGCACCCTCACATTTACTAGAGTGCTGTAGGAATACTGTTGAGCAAAAGAAGGAAAACAGGTTTGTATTTGAGAAATACTAGGTAAAAGGCACTCTGATTATGCATTTTAGAATTGCTGCCGTAAAAACAGAGGACAAGCCACACTACAGCACAGCCCCAGCTGCAGGCAGCTGGTTGAATGTTGCAATGCACAGCGAAGCAGCCCCTACATCAACTTACAGGCAGTCTGTGCCAAGAACTGGCTTGTTCTCTTCAGTCCACACTTACTTAATAGCAATTCAATCTCTTCTTACAAAATTGGGGCAGGAAAAGCCTATCCACTAAGGGTGCTATAGATGCAGCTGGTGCTCTCCATCAACTCCTGTCATCATTTAGTCATGATCTCTAATCTGCATTTCTCATACTTGATACTGATAAAATTAACATTTAACAATCAAACACATGTATTCACACGGTTTCTCCTTTCTTTCTAGATCTGCTGTCAAACCCAACTGTTCAGCATAAGGGACAGCATCCCTAAGGGAACACTCACTTGAGGGAGTTGATTTCCAGGACCAGGTTGTCACAAGAAATGTTTTCTTCTTCGCCCCTCTGTAACGTACCCAGAACCTCATTCTGGAAAACTAATGAAAGAAAGGACAGGTAGTTAGACACCGAGAGGGAAAAGCATAGATTCTTCAAACTGTTCATTACTGAAGAACCTATGCCCTTGACAAAGGAAGCATTCCGACAGAGATACCTATTCGTTCGCCGTAATGTGGCACACACCCACATCAACTATACTTACAAATAGTGGAATATAATTCAAATAAAGGAGACAACCTACTAGATATCATTGATCTATCCACACAAACCAGTATAAGGCTATTTACCTGTGCAACCTTTTAGAGCAGAGTTTCTATTACACTTTCATCATCTAGCCTTTCCTATTCAGACAAACCTCATCTTCTTCTAACTAAAGATGTGAATTCAAACCTAAAATTTATTCATTTAATTTCCTTTGGGGAGATATTTTAACGTGAAAAATGCTATTTTCCCTCCATGCCCCCTCATTTGGCTTGAACCCCTTTCAAATCCAGGTAAGCTTAACACAACAAAATAGAAAACCAAAACATATCTGCCAAAAGAGGCAGCTCCTTTAATTCTCTAAGGGACATTTAATTCTCCAGCACGATTACAGCAGCAAGTTGTCCACACAGGGAAACTCTGCTGGACCTTCACACAATCTGAGTTTAGTCAACAACACTGCCTTTTACTGACAGCTCAGGGAGGTCACTTTCATGAAGGTCCAGTTGTCAGGAGTGAGAAGCATGGAGGATCTTTGTCTAGCTTCTCACTCTTGGCTGCCTTGGGTTAACACAACAGCAATACAGGGAATATTAAAGAACTCTAGAAAATGCCAGTGAGGTCAGGAAACACAGACATCCACAAATTTTCCAATATACCTAGAGAAAGCAGCACAACCTCACACTCGCTGCATTATCTGCAGACTTACCATAGTTCTTAACACCCATCTCTCACCTTTGATGTCATCTAGCTGAGGGGACGCTGCCCGACTGTCTGGCTCCTCAGAGCCCATGCTCAGGTCGCTGTCTGACTCGCTCTCTTCCTCTGAATGCATAGCTGGGCCTGATGAAGAAGAGAAGACACAGCATTCAAAAGCTGCAGCTGTCTATGCATGAGGAACCAGGTGTCCCAGGGACTTCCCAACCAAGTCAGCAACTATCCGTTGTTGCAAGGAAGCTTCTACATACAAGTACAGATGATTAGATTTGCTGCAGAGGGAATGCTACAGCTGGCAGTAGGATAATGGAGCTTTTTAAGAGTCTGCAGGCAGACAAAAAAGGACAGGGACAGAAGCAAATGCATTTTGTGCAGACTGCTGACTCATGATGGAGCAATGTCAGCAGACGCTGTCACTAGTAGGAAAAAAGCCAGCAGTACCCAGAACGGCCAAAGCATATTCCCTCTAAGGGAAAGCCTGGTATCTCATAGTGCGCCATTCACAGCACAGACAGCTGCATGTGTTAGTGTTAGTCAAAGATACAATAAACATTTTCCACAGAGCACAGGAAGACAGAATCTGGTCCTCCACCTGCCTTCACCTCTCACCTTGCCTCCACACACACATGTTATTTGGAGCCAGTCTGCTTCACAAAGCCCAGGTCTTGCTCCAGACAGAATTATCAGCATCCCACTAAGCCAGTTTCCCTGACACAGGTCTGTCTGTCTATCCCCAGGTGACTACACTAAATTTTTCCTCACCCCATAAGCTTTGTCTCTGCTCTTCTTCATCCTCTTCATTCTTGTCATCTGCTTTCCACAGATAGCCTCTGCCCTCTGAGCCTACATCCTTTTTATTGTAACCTGAAAAAGAAACAGTAATTAGGAGGTAGATGTACTGGATCCACTTACAGGCAAATCTGAAATAGACTGGTATAACCTGTATATTGCTGACCCTAAATATCCTTCAGGGAGCTGGGTGCAAATGCAAACGAATTTCAGCTTTTATCTTCTCACTTGCCTTGACAAGTGACTGATTTACTCCCCCCTACAGCAGCAACATTCAGCTGACCATGTTTAGATCCCTCAACAAACCCAGACTGGTAGAAACAGCATTTCACAAGAACAAAGTCCTTCGACACAGTCCAGGTATGAGGCTTGCAACCTGGCTTGAACTGAACATCTCTTCTAACTTCAGGTTATTGTACGCTACAAGGCTCCTACTCTACGAAAAATGGAAAATAGCTGAGGCTCTAAAGATTTTAATACTGGGTTACTGAGGTATACCTCGCTGTCCAACTTGAGCTGAATATTCTTGCTTGCCCTACTGAAAACACATTCCAAGCTGAATGCAGCACTAAGCTGCAGCCTGGCACTGCAGAGTCTAGAATTGGGGAGGGAAAGACCCCGGAAGATCATGGAAGGCAAAGCCCTCTGCATAGCCTGAGTACCTGGAGCCAGAGACTCTCATACCTTTCAGTTTCACTTTGCTTTCCTCCTTGTTCACGCCAGAATCATCACTGAACTGGTCATCGTCCTCTTCCTCCTCATCTGGTGAGTGCAGAGAGATCACTGTGCCCTCAGAAAGAGTGATACCAGGACCTACTACTACCTGTAAATATGTGCAACATGTCTTAATGAAGAAATACCCTGATTGCCCCCTTGTACCTCCACCAGCAGGGACAACAGCTGCTCCAGACAAGGTGTACACTAACAAGTATTAACTGAAGACATCAGCACTGCTAGATCACATACCATAGCACCCTAGCCAAACCGAAGGCAGAAAAAGGTGGGAGCAGTAGCATATCCTCCAGTACCATTGCCCCTCACTACAAGAAAGACATTGAGTTGCTGGAGTGTGTCCACAGAAGGGCAACGAGGCTGGTGAGGGGTCTAGAGCACAAGTCTTATGAGGAGCAGCTGAGGGAACTGGGGTTGCTCAGTCTGGAGAAGAGACTCCAGAGTCAGAGGAGACCTTAACACACTCTACAACTACCTGAAAGGGGTTGTGGTGAGGTGGGTGTTGGTCTCTTCTCCCAAGTAACTAGCGATAGGATGAGAGAAAATGGCCTCAAGTTGCACCAGGGGAGGTTTAGATTGGATATTAGGAAAAATTTCTTTACTGAGAGAGTGGTCAAGCATTGGAACAGGCTGCCCAGGGAGGTGGGGGAGTCACCACCACTGGAAGGGTTCAAAAAACGTGTAGACGTGGCACTTCAGGACATGGTTTAGTGGGCACAGTGGTGCTGGGTTGGTGGTTGGACTTGATCTTAAAGGTCTTTTCCAACCTTAATGATTCTGTGATGTACCCCACATATGCAAAAGCCTTGGAGCAGCCCTGTATTCTGGTAAGTCTAGTAGCTAGCCAAGAACAGCAGAAAGCAGAACAGACATCAATACAGCTCACCTGAGAAGACAGGACACAGTGGGGCTTTAGCTTTACTTTCTCCTTCACTTCAGCTTCATCGCAGATAACAGAATGGCAGATCTCCACGTTATCTGCTATGTGTACTCTGTCCCAGAGAAAAGCTCCATCCAAAATGACTTTATCACCTGTTATACATCACCAAGCATAAATATGTTGAGCAAGGCAGTTTGCTGCTCTCCCACACTCCTGAGTCCACTAGAAAGCATCTCACTGTATTCCAATGCCCTTGATGCATGAAGGATGTTAGATGATAGGTAAAAACTGGCCTTAGAGGCCTATGGCCACTTCTTACCCAAATCTAAAATATGACTTTGTTCTCTACAGAGACTTAGTAAGTTGACAGTAATAACTGACAACCTGGTTTTGCACAAATACAGCCAAATCACAAAAAACTTCCAGCCAAGACTAGGAAGGAGGAGTACCAGGCAGCTCATAAAAACACAGACAGACATCCCTCATTTGCAGCATGTTGGTGGGTGATAACTAGATCAGTAGAAGTCATGCATTCTCTACTGCTGAAAAGACTTATTTGCACAAAGTGCCTTCCACCTTTCAGCATCATTATAGTACCTTGAAAACTTTAATCTATTTCCCCTTCTGGAAAACCAACCTTTTCTCCCTTCTTCCCATCAGAAGTCAATCAGTACCCACCTACCATCCTCTCTTAGAGGATGCACTTTAAAATGCACTTTAAAAACTAAATCCCAACAACCTGTGCCCTTGCCTGGCAGGGCCTGCATGTCCCCCATTCTTGTACGCACCTATCCTACAGTTCTGACCAATAACGCTGTTTTTTATGGAGCAGTTGCTCCCGATGACCGTTCCCTGCCCAATGAGTACATTCTCTTCCAGCACGCTGCCATGGCCGAGGCTAACATCCACCCCTCGGTAAATGTTGTGTTTAGAATGGGTGTAACTCTGATTCTTGTCATCGGTGAAGTTCATCTCTGGAGTCAAAGGATAAACCCAGCGCCGGATGATGTCAGAGCACACAGCTTCATACATTAGCAGGTTGCATATATGGGCACCATACTCTTCTGTTGTTACATGCATATGGATCTGGTTCCCCAGGACCTGGGAGACAGGCAGGAGCATGTCAGAAGATTCTCTCTCTAATGCAAGATAATAGGATCTCCCTTGTAACAGCCCTCTCCTTACCTCCTCATTCACCAACAGACCACGCACAAAGTCATCTCGTGTCTGGTAGTCAAAATTGTCTGTGAACAGCTCAGCAACCTGCCACAAATATAATACCAGGAAATAATATAGTTAGCAGAAAATGTTGCCAGTGAAGCCAGATAATTACAGAATCACAGAATCATTAAGGTTGGAAAAGACCTTTAAGATCACCAAGTCCAACCAATGGCTGTTCAGTGGTTCTCAGAGAGCCAAGTTATACAGTATAGGAAAGCAATGCTCTTGCCTTGAATAAAATTTTGATTCCTTCTGCTAGGAGTGTTCCCATCTCCTCCTCCTAACAGAGACTATGAAGAGATGCTGGTTTCCAGAAGGGGCAAAACATTGCTTTATCATTTCCAAGCAATCCGCCCAGCCTCACTTGGTGATTTGATTTGGTAGTTTCACGCTCAAAGGGAAGGCTGTAGACCAGCTTTTTCCAATGTGGAAGAGATGTTAGCGAGCCTAGGCTGGAATAACCCTGAATGTTACCCTAACATGGTACCAGCTTTCAAGTACTGACACTTTTCCACAGCATAGCCTTGGCCTCAGCTCCACAGATGTTACTACACCCAAAGTGAAATTGCTTATTTTCAAGAGCAGTTTCATCCCATGCCAAATCAGCCAGTCTACTGACACATCCACTGTCTAGTTCTGCCTGGCTCAAGCAGTGGATGCCAGATACAGACTGAGCACCATACAGTCCACAGAGCAGCATCACGTGATCACTCAGGCTCTCAGTGCAGTCACTGAGCACAGCTGGGGGTTCTGGTTTCCAAACCTAGGACACTCAGGCCACGTGCACCTCCTCCACACAAGCAGGACAAAGGGAGCAATGCAGATTGAATTTTGGACCCTCAGAAGGGCAGAGCTCACCTGTGGAGAGCAGATGCTGATATGACAATCCAGCAAGTCATGGCGCACCTCAACGTTCTCAATAGAGTTCTGGAACAGACTCTGAAAGCGGAAAAAATTCACATGATCTGAGTGCCTCACTCAATATCAAGCCTCAACAGCCTTCTATAACCCAGTTTAATAATTCAACTGATTGAATTATTAAACTATCTCAAGTTCTGAATATCAGTGAAATCTACAATCTATACTGAGACACAAGCTTAGCAGGCACAGCCTGGTCACACACAGAGCTGTGTGTCAGTCAGCAGAGACTGCCCTTGTCCTTACACAGTGTAGTTCTCCAAGAAAAAGCTTGTACTTTGAACAATCACTTTTCCTCCAGAAGGCTCCTTGCCTTACTTGCTGGGAGCTACAAATGTACAAAGAACATTAAATCAAAATGCAATATTCACAGCTTCCATACCCGCTGTGGATTTTTACAGCTATGGGGGTTTTTTTGTTTTTGTTGGGTTTTGTTTGGTTTGTTTTTTCCTTTTTGGTTTCCTACAGTGACTTGTGCTTTCATTTGAATGTAAAAAATAATCTACTGATTACTGATTTGGTGATGAAAATGCCATATAATCACAGTCTTAATTCTGAGTTGAAAAAAGGTCCATCTATCTCACTGGAGAAAGTGCCTCCATAGACATTCACAGAGCATTTACTGAAGTATTAAGTGAACAGTACAGGCAGAAATAACAGGAGGTACTACCTCTTGCACCTGCTGTTATTCCACCCCCTGTGCCGGGCTCAGTGCCGCTTCAAAATGGCTTGTGTACAATAATGGTACATGCATCCCAATTTGGGAACCCCTGCAACAGTACAAATCATCCACCTCTTGTTTCACATGGAGAAAAGCAATCAAATAAATGCAGAAACCGAATTGGGAGAAATAGGCCTGCCCCATCTTCAAACTCTGAAATGAGTCCCAAGCGTGTGTGTCCCAGCACAATTTCACCAAGCCTCAAATAACAGTTAAAGGAAAAAAAAAGCCAGTTTACCAAGAGTTACTTCCTATCATCTGCTCCTCCAAAAGAAGCAGCAAGCACAGTTCCCCAGCCATCACTCAAGGAGAACATCCTCCTTGAGGTGGGCTGCTTCACTACTGCAGCCCTTTTTCACCCATCAGGTTCCAGACGCACCATAGGAAAGCGGAAGCGTTTCAGCCCCTGCGTTCTCTGGTAGTGAAGGACACGGTTTGTGGCACTGTCCATAGCAATAACAATGTCATCCTCTTTGCACCTGGCATGGTGACCAGGTGAGGACTCCTTGAATATCATCGTCATCACAGAAACGTTCTTTTCCATCTTACGACGCAACCTGAAAAAGAAGAGCAGAACTTTAAAATTACTCTTCAGAGAGCTGGGCCTCAGTCTCAGCACACCAGGCAAGCGTACACTTTTTTAACACCTACTTGTGCTCTTCCAGGGCTTTGGATATATTGAAATTGGACACCACATCTCCAGTGACAAGAATGAAGTCAGAACGAACAAGGGACTTGGCATCAACGTCTCGTAGCACATCACCAAGGGAGCGGTACAGGTCAGAAGTCACAAAGCGCACTGTGTTTGGAGAGGTGTGACGGCACCACTTAGATTTTCTGGAAAGAGAAAAATAACATCAGAAAGGCATAAAGAGGATATTCCCATAGATAATGGTCAAGCATTGAAACAGGCTACCCAGGGAAGTGGTGGAGTCACCATCACTGGAGGTGTTAAAAAAACATGTAGATGTGGCACTCCGGGACATGGTTTAGTGGGCATGGTGATATTGGGTTGACAGTTGGACTTGATCTTAAGAGGTCCTTTCCAACCTTAATGATTCTATGATAACACACTAGGACACAGTACCCCAGTGCATACTATATCTGTAAGTTAATGCCAGGGGAATCCTATTACAATGAGCCTGCTATCGATAGGCTTAGGTATGCTCATTTGCACACAGCAGATGAACTGAAGAGGGTTAGACTTTGAGACTGTAGCTTATGGAAACTCAGGAAACCCGACTTCACTGTGAGCCAAGTTTTGACAAAGAAGGAAAAGTTACACACAACTAATTTTTTTTTTTTTTCCTCAGAAAGCAGTATCTCAGGCAGGGAAAAGACTGCATGCTTCTCTTTAGCTTGCAAACCTGCAGCATGCAGAAGCAAAGGTGCTGCCTGAGCAACCTGTTTCCATATGCTGCACAACATACCGAGACAGGGCATAATGCAAAGGGTGGTACTCTAATCTACACGGCTACCCAGGAAACTCTTGCTTTTATACAAGAAAAGTTAAATGTCAATACAAATGCAGTCCCAAAACATTCAACCCTTTTAATACACTGCACAACCACACTCCTTCACAGGAGGAATGGTCTTTTTTTGAGATGTGTTAGGAGACTTCTCTTGAAAGGGAATCCCTAGCACACGGTTTTCATCAGAAGGATCAGTGAGACCTTTGAGGCTTGCTGGAGAATAGAAGAATCCTTTCCATGATAAAGCTAAAAAGAAGAGATTCTTACTGTAAATGCTCTTTTATCTCAGCTGACTTCCAACAGCAAAAAACAAAGGTTTCTTCCACTCCAGTTGCTGTTAGAAACTCCAAGGTATAGTCAATCATGGCCACATTTGCCATAGGTAAAAGAGCCTAAAAATAAAAAAAAAAAAATACACAGATAGCTGAACAAACACTCTGTACCTCAACATCAGCAACAGTCCTTTCCAACTTGAGGACACATCATCACTGGTGCCAGAAAAATAACACAAGTAATTGCTCTACTTCCTTTTATATAAAATTTTCAAAGATGATCTAAACAATAAGAGCTAGTTTTTGATCTTCTATAGGGCTAGATCCTCACTTCAGAGAAGAAAGCATAAAAGAAGGGAAGTTATCACACATAAAACTCTTCAAGATGACTCAAATAAGTGAGACTAAAAAAAAAAAAAAAAAAAAAAAAATCCCAGAGTGCTGATTCCCTGACTCAGGCTATAACTGCTACAAGAAAAACCTGACAGACATGACTGATGAAGCCACAGGACTATGAGTGTCCAGAATTAAAGAAGGGAAAAAAGCAAACCCAATCTAAAGTGAAGTGAGTATTTTCTTGAGATTCAAGCCACACTTTTACTGATTCACAACTGAGTGATCTCATACTATTCTTTGAATAAATTTTGGCGATGTTTTGTTTCAGGCCTGAGCTCGCGTGTATAATTATGACCACCAGAAACATTTAATCAGCAAGCAAGATAATTGTTCAGACCTAAATTTTCCAGAAGCGCTCTTTCCTTTAACATACAGCCTTCTGATCTGGATAACTAAAATGCTTTCCCTAACCATTTTTCCGGCCATATTCTTTTAGCCATTATTGCTGTCAAGGACAAAGATTTTGCTTCCTTCCCCTATCAGAAGCAAGCCTGCCCAAACCTGCTGCTGCTCCTGCATCAGCAACGGATGAAAAGCAAACGGGGCAGTTTGCCTTGCCACGTGGAAAAGCAAAGAGCACCAACACAGCAATTGGATCCTCGCTGCCTCTCCAGTGGCGGACATAAACTCTTACAGGCGAGGAGAACTGGTCAGAAGCTTCCACAGCGTGGGGGAAAGCGGGAAACGCCGCGGCAGTGGGGGCTGCCCGAGCCCTGGGCAGCGGCTGGGGGGGTCTCGCCTTCTCTGGACCCAATCCGGGGCTCTCACGGCGGGGCAGGCCGCGACC